GGCCTCCCCGGCCTTTTCATGATCTCCGCTGACGGCACCTTGAAAGGGGCCGGGAGGCATAATCTTAGGGCTCGAGGGAGTATCCAGGGCCTTCTCTGGTACAGGTGGCTCAATGACCGCCATTCTTGCATTGATGGTCCCAGCTGCGCCTGCTTCGGCTCTGCATCCTGCTTCGCCCATGCGGCAGATTCCCCAGAAACCATGGCTGCTATGAAAGTTGAAAGCAGGAGTAGGGTGCTTGCCCGTGTGGGGTGCCTCTGCCAGCGTTGATGCTGACGACCTGGGCTCCGCCTTTGTCTCCTTCTTGGTATCCGGCGCGATCTTGGATTGACCTGCAGTTGCTGCTTCATGGCTTGAAGTCGCCTGCTGCACAGAGGAATGTGGCGAGTACTTGGGTTGCCAGCTCCGGTCCTCCGTGGCGTGCCATGAGTCCCATTTCCAGCTTCCCCACCATTGGTCTTCCCACCCCTGTGCCTCCCACCAGCCGTTGTCTCTCTGCTGCGCTGCGGCTCCCCATTGGGGGCCGGTGTGCAGCGACTCTGCAACTGCGCCAGCCTGAGTGCTGGAAGCTGCGGTGCTCGCGCGTTGTTCTTTCTATTTCGCCGGTCGTACGTCTGTGCTTGCCTTTCGGCCGATAGTGATTGCGAGGGTGCGGTCTGGGGAACCGAGGCTTCTTGGGGGCCTCATCTTCTTCTTGATCCGCCATGTTGGCTCGACTGAGAGGCTGCTCTTTTGATAAATGAGGCCAGAGCCAGAGGGGCAGTGCTGACACAGTTCGGCTGCGATTCAAGACAGCGGGCGTCCACAGCGGTTTGATGAGTGCTAACTGAGCGCTCCACTCGTGGACCTTCGCGATCTGGTGAGCACCAGGCCCTGGTCGGCCGACACCTGAGAGTCTAAGAGCAAAGAGCAAACTTGCGCAGACTGAGATTGGGGAGTTTTCAGCTCATGGCTGCACCGGAGGGTTCGCCGAGCTACAGGGCTTGCTTCAGTGCGAGTCAATGCGTGTAAGCTCCATATGTGGCCTGAGAGCTTGGCTTGAGCAGGGGCCGAGGTCGGCTCCCCTGACCTAGGCAGGTCGTTGCTGACTAACAGTCGTTGGGGTCCAGTGCCCCAACTAGCTTCGCTTCTGACGAGACATGTGCAGCCATGAGTCTGAACAGCTGGTTACCTGCCTCTCGGGTGGCTTTAGTTGGCCTCTGGTGAGTCTGGAGAGGCCGGCGCTGGCATAACAGGCGGCCTAATTGTTGCAGAAAGTGGGGAAGGCTTCGCCTTCACCTTTGCAGTCGTCGGAGTGGGGTCAGAGGTCGGCGCTCTGAAGAGGTTGCAGGGGTAGTCGGCCGCGTTGGTGTCGCTCCAGTGCCTGTTGATTTCGGGGTCGCCTGGTTGAGCATCGCGGCATGGAAGGGAGTCCACACGGGATCTCCGACGTTAAGTTCTCCAAAAGCCTTGGTGTACTACCATGGGGGCCGGGGACCGGCTCGCCCTTCGGCATAGGCGCGTGGGTCGGTGTTGCAGACTCCTCTTCTTCCCATCCGGGCCTGACAGGACCGGCTGACGTGGTGGCGGGCCGTTACGTGGCAGGTCTCTGATGCTTCTTGGATCTGGAACCTCGCAGTCCGGCGTGAGCATACCCGAATTCCTTTTCAGGCAGGACTCTACTGCCAAGGCGCGCGCGAGCTTGATCTGATCCGGTGTCCCGTTCGAACCTGACCAAATCGGAATGCATGGGAGGGTGGAGCTCAGAGAGAGAGATGTATGTAAGTGTCCGACCCTAGCAGAGATCCCGTACCAGGGTGTGCCTCTGAACATGTTGTCGTGAGCCATCGGCCCTGCTGCCTGGGAGTGGTTCGGGGTCGACATCGGCGCCCTGCCTTGGTTTATCTGCGGATGCCTGGGCATGCTGCGAAGAGGTGACAACCTGAAGGCGCTAGTTCTTTGAGCCGAGGTCCGTGGCGGGGCCCAGGCGACGGTCAAAAGCTCTCTGAGCGACTGAGTTGCTGGCCACGACCAGTCTGTGCGCACTACCGGTTGCTCTGCCCTCAAGTGCACGCCTGACCTTATGCGAGACTTCTGTGGGGCGCTGAGGTTCCAGCCATCGCAGTGCAGAGGTCGACCCTGATGTCTCGAGCGGTGGGGCGGTGTCTGTTTCAGAACTGGCATCGGTTGACTGTGGGGCCGTTGAGCGGCTATCCTGTATCCCTGCACTACAATGGTTAAGGCAGACCTTGGTGTCAGCACCGACTCGCTCTGTGCACCGCCTTGCAAATTTGCGTAGTGGTGTGCCATGTAACTCAGACAGGGCGGCCTCGACAGCGCAACGTTGAATTGCGTGCTGAAGTTCAATACCGTGCAGGGTATGCTGTCTAACCTCTGAGTCAGATCCAAAGGCCTGTGCCGTGAGTGATTGCTGTTGTGCGGCCACCTGCCGTAAGGACGGAGCTGTGCTGCTGCGCAGTACATGGCTATCCAAAGAGCCGCTCTCAGAAGCAACGCTCTCCCCCGAGCCGCGGCTCCCTGATGGGGCCGGTTCCTGCGCCTGGGTGCGGAGGGATGCGAATCAGATCTGGGAGCTGGTTGATGAGTGCTGGGCATTGGCTTGAAGCTCGTCATCCTGAGCACACAGCACACGGCAAGTGTCAACCAGGTCACTATCCTGCCATGGCATCAGCTACGCTATTCTACGGATCTTCGCTCCCTAGTGGAGCGGGACTGCAGACTAAACTCCCCCCAACTACACAAAACTACGGCACCGCTGTGGGTGCCACTTGAGCCATTCGACCCATCCATTTTTTCATTCAATCGCCGCACGAAGGGTCTCGTGTCTAGCGGACGGTCCCTTTCAGGAACATATTCGCCAGAGCAGCAATGCATGGCACCTAAGCGCCGCATGCTACAGGTTAACTAGGTGCTTCGAAAAGCCGACCTAGAAGCCATTAGACTTCCGGACCAGGAAACTTGTGCTAAAAACTACGCAAAGTGTGCTTGAGTGACAGACTCTACAGCTCAGCACCGCAGTACGCAAGGGCCGACAAACGGCACCCAAAGCACAAACAGCGGAAACTCACGAGGCTGCTGCAGCTCAATGGCTTTCTCGCACTTACTCACCTTGAGCGACAGCACATCTGCGAGTAAAGCTGCAGAGAGCGTCGTTTGCCGCCTTGGTAGGATGTACAATGGCACGTCTTGGCTTCGCAAACATGCGCCAAACAAGGGGTAGCAGGCGCACGCAAGCTGGGCTGTCAAAGGCAGCGGTGCTTGACATCTGTGCAGTCCAGGGTGCCATCTGCATGGGGCCGTAGAAAGAAAACGGCTCCCTCCCGCGACTCCCGCAAGTCTGAAAAAACAACCAGCAGCACATACCGAGTTGCGACTTTCGCTGGACCGATGCGTAATAGCTCCGCCGGCACGACCCCACGTAGAAAGTACAAGAGGCCCCCGTTGCTAAACGCTTGCGTCGGCCAGCTTGCCTGTAGCGAGCAAAAGAAAACAGGCAGCTCACAGCGCAAAGCTGGGTATGGCACCATGCTGACAAGTGCATCAAAGCGCCGTCGGCACGACCCCATGTTCAGAGAACAGCGGAGGCCCCCGTTGCTTCTCACCTGCACAGTCAGACGAAAGGGCCGAACGACGGCTCCTTGCAGTGTCCACGGCCCAAAGACAGCAAAATGATCAGCTCCACAGCGGTTAAACCTGGCTAAAGGAAGAATAACAGCCCTTGCTGCTCCCTTAGCTTCGTCGCCAACCACATGCTTCCCCACCAGCTGTAGCAACAGTAAAGATGGTGAGCTAGGTTCCTCTGACACCGTGGTAGTCTCAGAAACCCTCACGCCGGTCATCAAGAGGCCTACTTTTTGCATTGTCTTGACTGATACCAAGATGACCCCCGGACTTGGGACCGGGCCGAGCAAGTAGAGCATATTGAGGGAATGAGTTGTCCAGGGACGCCTTCGTCTCGCATCACTGTAAGTGCACAAGCGCAGAAGTGGAAAAACTACACAGGCAGCAAAAGCGGAAAACCGTGGCCCAATACTGCTTTGCAGGCAGAAATGTCGTGAAGAAGCAACCATCTGGCACCACTTACTTTGGGAAGTGTGACCGCCAAAGGCAGGCACATTAGCGCATCGTCCTGCCTCGCAAAGGCAATACCTGTGCGTCGGCCGATTCGCGGCCGCCCTTGATGTAGTTGATTCATTGAAAACCCTCCAGGGTGGACAATCTGCAGGTGCAAAGAAGTTGGGAAACCAAACCAAACAAACCACAAATATCAAGAAATTGGCTCGCGAATCACCAGTGCTGTAGTACGTCGAAGCGACAGCCGCAGAGAGCGGCAATCTCACCCACTTCCAGCCGAAAGGACGGGAAATGGCCCAGGCATGATCCCCCAGGAAGTGGGTGCGGACGTGCACGCCTGGGAGGGGCATGACCATTTTCAAGCATCGAATAAAAAGTCTTGTGCGTTTGCGCGACTTGCAGAATGTCCATGGCCAGGTTGCTGCGGCACCCCAACGGGGCCGTACAAACAAGAAGGAGTAACCGCATCTGTCGTAGTAATGGCCATTGTCTCCGAGCTTCAGCAAAAAGTAGGAGGCCATACGTGAAAGCAACAAAGGGAGCAACAGCCATGGCAAGAGACTACTAAACCCTCAAACTACCTTGAACCGCTCGTGGCGCTTATTCGACCCATCCGCAGGGTCGCTGTGCGAGGGCACGCGCCTCCTCAACAGCCGCAACATGCACGCATGGCACTGGTAAGCTGCGCGTAAGCATTAAGGATGCCGAAACGGACGACTTCATTGTCAACCCACACTCAAGTGCTGGCACAGTGAAGGCAGAACACCAATGCACACATTGACATGCTGCCACTGCAGCCAAAAGCTCCGCCTGACAGCATCAAGGCAGCTTTCAGCAACAGTAGGAGGGACATCACCACCGAACCATGGAAGTGGCCCAGCACCGATGGAAGCAACACCTGCCTCAAAAACACCATCGTTTTGCGAATGCATTCCAATCTTCTGCCAACGCTGAAAAACAGCCACGATGCCCAGAGTGGCATCCAGGCACCGGAGCTGTTCAAAGCACCACTGTGCGACTTGTTGCTTGCGCGGGCCGTTCAGTGTGGTCACAGAATGTCACAGACAAGGCAGAGTCGACACCGGGGCTCGAGCAGTCAAGCAGAGAGTCATGCTCCAGCCCAAGATGCGAAAAGGCAAACGGACATGCGCAAAGCCGGGAATACTGCCACTGGCCGCTAGCACTAAAGGAAAGTGCAATCATCTGCAGTACATGACATGGGGCAGACGCTCAGCAGGTGTCCAAACGCTGGCAGCAGCAAACGGCACATCATCCAGATGTATTGGAAGCTGCGATAGGCATTCTTTAAGTCAAAACAGCTCCCGAGCAGCTTGCACTGACATGCTTTCGCCACACGTAGCAAGCACAGGCCGAGCGACACAATGTGCACAGAATGGGCTTGAGCAGCATACGCAACAGGTCCTGGCGGGACGCTGTTGCTGCTCTTGGTTGGGTCTGGTTGGTGTCCGGTGTCTGGTCTTTGCTAGGGCCAGGGCTTTGCCCTTCAGTCCTGTGACGGAGCAAAAGTTGTCGAACCCTCCAGACTCAGCGTGAGCATTTGAGCCTGTCTCTGAACGCTTGATGATGAGCTGTGGCAGGCCACCCTGAAGGAACGCAAACCCACAGTGCGGACGATTTCAATTCCAATGGTCTGAACAGCACCCCGGACGCCTGTGACAAGGTCACAATGCGCCACACCGACTGTGAGCAGCCAAGCCGCTCCTCGCGCACGGCAGCAAAAGGACACTGCATTCAGCATGCACCACCACGAAAAAACCGCCCGGTACAGGTGCTGTGGCCGGTGGTTTGCAGCTGCTCTTGAGGCAGCATGCACGTCCGCTTGATGCCGATGCCGACCTCGATCGGGGAAACTCCCAAGGCAGCCCGTATATCGTGGAGTGCCCCAGAAGAAGACCAACTTACCCCAGAGGGCGAGACTGAAACAGCCGCGACACAAAGGCATCGGGTATGCCTCCGCTTTGTTGGTCCAGCGACCGGTCACCGGCCCCGCATGGCAGTTGCGGCCGTGCATTGAGCGACAAACATGGCAAGGGCTCGAGCAGCCCGCTTATGGCCGCTGCCTTTCTAACCCTCTGTTGCCAACTGGAGCTTTCCCGTTGCGAAAGATGATGCATGGCAGCGTTCAATAGAGCGAGGTGCCTTAAGACATGACAAGTTGGGCAGCTTGCGTTCTCAGTTGTTGTGGGGTGGGGGTGGGGGTGGGGGTGGGGTTGGCAGCTGCTATGGGCAAGTGCTTCAAGCTTCGGAGGATGGTCTTTACTGTTTGCAGTCCAGGCATCCCTGATCTCCCAGCGTGCAGGACGAGCTTCTGGGTCGATGGAACGACAAAAGCGAGGGTATCGACAAGGCAGTTCTCCGGAGCTCTTCCACTCCTGGTGAGGCCAGCCTGTGCAAGAGTGGAGCTGATATCAATAGCAGCGCAGAAAGGTGGAGACCTCAGGGTCCATCGATCCTCAAGCGATCCTTGAACGTGTGGCCCCAAGCGGACCTGGTCAAATTTCCGTTTCGCTTGCAAACGGACCATAGTAACGGACCTTAGCCCTTCACAGGTCTGGAAGAGCACCGGTTGGCTGATGTGCACCTGGCCTGCAAAGTGCAAAACGACGCAATATCACAGGACATGATTCGACAAATTCGACTTGGTCTTAAAGCTGAGCGCAGGTCCGAAGCAGCTGCCCAAGACGGGGAGCCCGAAGCGATGCTCTTCTCTTTGCAGGCTCACGGATCACGTCGCCGAACATTGACATTTACGAGCTCGCGGGGTCGTCTGCGTACTGGCATGCTCTTTCAACACGGCATTGCTCCCCTACGCTTGCCGATTCCAAAGCAGGCAATCTGTTGAAGTATGAACCAAGTCAAAGTGCTTAGCACGAGCAGGACATGAAGGAGGAGCTCGATGCGTTTCGCTGGATCACAGCCGAGGTGCTGCAGTCTTGTATGACTTGTATGGTAGTGTGATGCGCAGTGTGAATCAGTGCCATCCGCAACTGAATGGGTAGCATTGTGCATGGGGTGAAGCCTCGATGGAGATCCCAGGTTGTCGCCCGCCGGATTGAGCTTGAAGCATTGGAGCAGGCAGGGCCGAGGTCACGAGCTTGATCAGTGGCGAAAGCTGCGCTGCAGGAAAATCAAGCTTTTCGAGAGGACACATTCGCATTTGGGAGCTTGCCTGAGCTTGCTTGGATTGGAAGAGCGTGGGAAGGTCTTTGTTGCAGCACTGAAATTGCTTGCCGCGCTACTTCATGATCACCTGATGGAATGGGAAGCCCGGGTGGCAGGAGCAGGCAAGTCTTCGTCAAAGGTATGAAGACATGATGGAGGAGGCATTCGTGACTTGTGCCACCGTTATCTTACAACTGCGCAACAGCTGGTCGAGGCAGAGTTGGACGTGCTGGTCTCTCAGATTCCTTTGTGTGTCCAGTTTTGTCTCACATGTTGACAGTAGCTGCTTGTTTGCTTAACCGTGGCGAACTGTGCAAGTTGAGGCGAGAAGATGGCGCAGCAAGTTGAGTCTGAAAATGCGAGGTCAGTTCGAAGTTGCAGCAGCCGTCCTTGTATTCCTCAACCTTGTCCGACTTGGGAAGCACAAGACACCCAGCTGTATGACTCTGCATCTAAAGTAGCGGAGACTGAACACCGCTGTCGTTCCGTCTGCTTCGCTTGCTTTACAGCAACGCGTTACACCAGCGACAGTGTACTCACGAATTTCTCAGAGTTCTGTCCAGACAAGCCAAATTAACATTCAATCGTTGGCGCCTGGTGCCCCAAGCCGGTTCGAGAGCACTCGCAGGGCGGTACTTCGACAGCACGCCATGCTAAATCTAATTCTAGACGACAGTCGGCGGCCTCCGAGCATGAGCTATGCCGTCAACTCAGCTCCGAACAGACGAGCCGACGTCTGCTGACTGTCTTTGTGCTCAGGCTCAATCCCCTGCCCAGCAGTGGCTCAGCATCTGCCCGGGGCCCCGGGCCTTTACTTGACGCTCCGTTTCTGCGTTTTGGAAGTGTGCAGCGAGTTTGCAGAGGCCGCGCAGCAAAACACTGTCCGGTGCTCGTCGGTATGACATCCCTCTCGGAACTGCGAGTTTGTCTGCTTCTTCATTCTTGTTTCTCGTTGCTGCTGCGGCCTGTTGCGCCAAGGAGTCATCGAGATGCTGTCACAGGGCTACAGAGCAGATGGTCAGGACGGGTAACTTTGAGCAATCGGGGCTGAGCTTTGCCATATTTTGCATGCGATGATGAACAACAGAGCGCATGCAGCAACTCCAAATCGAAATCAAAAGTCATTTTCCGTAATCTGTTGTTTTGATTGTGGATGTGGTCATTCGAGCGAATGTTGCTGCAGTCGGCTGAACTCGGTTGACCTCGGTGTCCTAGATATGCGCTAGATGGACAACCTCTGAACTCTGCTTGTGGCATGTGCATGTACTTTCCAGTTGCGAGGACTCTGATGGCAATACGGGCAGGTCATTTTCTTCGTTCATCACGATTCTTGCCACCATCCTGTACTTCTACTACACGATCTTCCTGTGCTCTGCCTCGAGTGTGATTTTCCAGGTTGCTGACTCGCAATCTACAGAGGTACAGTGTTTCCAGAAATCTCCCGAGGCAGAGTACATGAGAAACGTCTTTCGTCTTGCCTAATCTCCCTCGGACCTGCAGAAAGCGGCACATCTGAAGACAGGATCCTTCGGTGAGCTTCTGCAAGCCCTGACAAGTGGGTTTCCGCCTTGGCATTGCGAGGGCCCTTGAACTTTTCCAGAGCTGATTATGACCGTGGCCGCGGCCTCGAGGTTGTTTGGACCCGAGTTGCAACCAATTCTGGTCCTTACAACAGCTGCGTCCACGCCTCAAATCGCACCATGCCCCGGTTCTCAAAGATCCCAATGTCAGCCCAAGCATGCCAGGCTGCATGTCTTTTTCGTGCTCTTCCTGGCTTCCTCAACCCCTCGTTGTGCAGGTAGCTGCGTAGCTGTCATCAAAGTCTGCTGGTGGCCAGAACCGCGGCCGCCGCGGCCCACAAAATTTGGAACTTGACCTACGAAGCCACTGCCTCGGCGCTGCCTCGGCGGTGCAACGCGACTCGAGTTGCTACGCAGCTACGAAGGTCTTGGTCAGACCCAGCCACGTGCAACGACGCTTTCCAAAGTTCCGCCACCTACATTTCCTCCGGTCTCTCCTATAAGGAGAGGACTTGTATGCTTTCGGCATGTCTTGACCAGGTGGGTGTGCCAGGACTCGAGGGCGATCGTGGTTCTTTCAAGGCTCATCATGAGCGTCTGTGTGATCTGGCTAGCAGACCTTTGCGCATGTTTGGCAGATGTGCAGCTTCATGGTACGCGTTGCAAAGCAGCATCTTGCATTCCCTGCCTGCGCCGATTTGGCTCCAACACGTTGCATGTTGAGAATTCAATCGACCTGGGTGCAACTTTTGATTGCTGCGCATCCTGGCTGCAGCGAGGACAACTTCCTCCACCGGGGTTCCTGGTGAGCGTAAGGTCGAATCAATGAACTGTGGCGACGCGAACGCTTCCGGCGTTCACGAAGATGCAGATTCCGCCTTTCGGCAAAGGCTCGGATCAAACCAGCCCTCTGTTTCGCCTTCACAGTCCTGTGACGGATTCTGGACAACCTGCGTTTGTCTTGGTAGCGGCATTGACTGGGTGTGGTCCCGCAGGTCCAAGCTGCGACCGGCACCTCTGGTAACAGATTTTCCAAAGGCCTTTCTGGGGATCAGAGAAACGCATCGAGCACGAGCGTTTGAAACTTGGAGGCAGAATTTGACATATCTACGCCCCGAAACACGGGCGCCAAGTCCGAGGTAGGGTGCAAGAGGGCAAAGATGTAAAGACCACAGACAGAATTCTGTGGCGGATGCTTTCCTGAAGGCCTCAAAGCACTTCATTGGCACGCCCACCGTGGACGGCTCAGTACGAACCTCTAGACATCTCTAGACATCTCTAGACACTAGACGGTTCGGTGTCGCATTGGCCCTGTCTTCGAAACTGCTCACGTAACCCGTCTGATGCCTCTTTGGCTCGTTCTGGGATGGCTGCTGGCGATGGCTTTCTTGGGGCAGCCAGCCAGAGCGATCAGGGGGATGCCCGGTGAGAGCACTAGGCCCTCGGCACCAACTACTAACCCTCAAAATACAAGTCCATTCTTCTCTGTTGCCGGGCGGGTTCATGTTTCGCTGCTGGGCCTGACTTCGCTGTGGCAGCGAAAAGTAGTCAGTGCTGTGGGTGGGTTGCATTGGATCCCTTACAACTGCAGTAGACACTCTTCTCCGCTGGAGGTGGGGTGGAAGGGGAGGTGAGGGAGTTGCGCTGAACCTGCTACGTGACGGAGTTGGCTTATTCTGTGCTGGAGGTGGCTCCGTTGCTGAGCCCTATAATAAGTCTCGCTTAGGCCACTGGCATACTCAACGCTTTCCTGGATTGCGATCTCGATACAGGTCGGGCTCACAGCTTCGGTCAGTTGCCAGATGCTATCTTGCCAGGAGACGATTTTGGACCTCCTCTAGAGCCAGACTACGATGCCATCAATGACTGCTTGCAAGGTGCTCTGGCAGATGCTATGGCTTTGCTGGTGCCGTGAGAATTTTTTGTGTGGATGGAAACTCTTTGTGGATGTGAACACGCAGTGTGTAAGTAACATGCCGGAGTCTTTCAGGGTGGCAGGGAGGGCACGGAATGCACTGCCGCTGAGGCCCGAGATAGGCCTAGCTGCAGTGCCACTTGCCTCCTGCTTTCCGGTGGCCCCTTTGTGGCACATGTCGACCACGCTGGCCGTGTGGGAGCCGGCTGATTCGGACATTATCATCTGCAGATTCCCACTTCTTCTGCTGGCTCTGATTCTGCTCTATTCACTCGCGTTGTTTTGCGGAGGTTGCGCTTTCGGACGCTTTTTGTGGTGCCCTTCTGAGGACAGTCCGTTAGTCTTGCCCTCAGGCCTACGAGTACGCATCGATGTCTTTGGATCCGCCCGAAAGTGAATCCACGCATCCTCGTGCGCTTGCGCTCGTGTCTGAGGACGATTTCAAAAGCCCTGATTGCACAGTGGAAAGTGCCTGTCCCTGCCTCGGCAGGCGGGTTTCGACCCGCCGCTCCCTCTGTCGTCCAGCTTGGCCAAGGCGCCCCTCTAGGAAGGACATGTCGAGTGGTTTCCGGAGTTTAGAAGCTTCTGCAGCCGAGTCCCGCGCCCACACTTCCCGCTCCGAGCAGCGCAGCTCTAGTGACACCAGAAGAGTCAAGCTCAGCTCGGTCATCAACCAGTCTGACGACCTGGAAGTTGACATCTTAGATGATGCTGCGATTCAACAGGCATACGCCAATTATCGTAAGAGGATTGGAGCTCTGCCCCCGGATCAGGAACTCAGCTCCGAGCAACTCTCGTCGTTGCACTCATTGTTTGCCTCGGGGAGAGCCCCCTACTGTGACATGGCGGTGTGGGGCCCACACCACCACAGACTTCAGAAGAAAATCAGGCTGAAGGGGGTTCGCCTCAGCCCCCAAAGCGAGATCATTCCCGTAGAAATCAGTGGGCCGGCCGACTTTGAATCCTGGAGGGAGTCCTACTCCGTATTTAGCACCGGAGTTGAACTCTGTCGCGGCTTCCATAAAGGCGGGTGTAAGGAGAAGGATCGCATCGGCTTCTGCATCAAGAACAATAGGCGCAGGCATCAGTGTGCGAAGTGCTTGTCAGAGGAGCATGGCGCCAACGTCTGCCCGACCGAGTCCCCCCGACCGCCCAAGGAGCTCAAGCCCAAGGGCGGGAAGAAGGGGGGGAAGAGCAGATCGTGAGGGAGGCAGGAGCCTCCCACCAAGGCACTCAAACGGGGTGCCACCGTGACGCAGCCTGATGGAATACGGGCAGCTGAGTATGCCGCCTCTGCAGAGTGTGCCCAAAGTAGTCGTGCCTGTGAGAAGCGACAACCACCCTGTGCCAGGATCGCGTGGTGTCGGCTATCACTTCCTGCATTTGTTCAGCGGGCCAGCAGACCGCCCGGACGGCCTGGCGGCATACATCCGGCGTGCGGGGCACGACTGCGAAGAGTGGGACATCGTGAACGGGGAGAAGTTTGACCTCGCCGACGATGCTACCTTCCAGCACCCCAAGGGCCGCATCTTGAATGAGGAGTTCGCCGGGTGTTTGCTTGGACCTCCCTGCCACACCTTCTCGAACGCCAGGCAGGAGGATGATGGAGGGCCAAGACCATTGCGGACCGCCACAGCTTCGGGCATCTATGGGAGAGCGGACGTCATGCCGGAGGAGAAGGAGACCCTCAGGCTTGGCACGCTACTTGCTCTTCGTGCCGTCGAGGTGTTTGGATTGTTTGTCTTACAAGGGAAGCCGACCATACTCGAACAGCCGGCCCGTCGAGCGGGGCCAGGCTCAATCAGCATGTTCGACCTCCCCGAGTTTAAAGCGATGCTGGGGGCAGATGGCGTTTCGTGTGCGCGCATAGCGCAGTGCAATTATGGCGCTGACACTGAGAAACCCACGGAGTTGATGCACTACGCCGTGGACCTTTCGGACAGCGCAGGTTCGTGCCAACATCCACAGACTCGGTGGAGGTTGCCGAGCACGGGGGCAAGCTTATTTTGGGCGCACCCGTCTTTAAAGGGCAAAGAGGCTTACATCTCTGAGAGCACTTGGGATCCGAGCATGCTTTTGTCTGACGTGGCGAGGAGACGGAAGTACAGGTTCGCCCCCTATCTCACCAGAGCAGCGACCGCCTACCCAGAGTATCTCGCGACGAAGCTCCTGCTGGCTGCTCGGTCAGTCTCACCGAAGGTGCGTATGGCGCCTTGTGGGCAGATGGAAGAACGCTTTGGTTCGCACCTGCACTTTGGACACCTGCGCTACTGGAGCAGGGATGTCGAGTCAGCACAGTTTTTTGGAGGCCACTGTGGAGCCACGCTGGAGCCCAGCTCTGAAGGGGACCGATCACCGCAGTCCTAAGGAGCTCGCTGAGATGGCCTGTCTCGGAGGCATGAGGCATCCTCGCAAGGCATCATGCACAATCTCAGGCTACCGTGACGTGGGCAAGCTGATATACCGGGCGGTCAGCAAGTATGCACAGTCACATCCTGAGGTGAAATCGCAGTGCCTGCAAGCGATAGGGTCCGCAGACCCGGGGGCGGGCCCAAACAGCGGAACACGTAGCTGAGATTGTCGGAGCACCTGGAGGCTGCGGAGACAATCCCGACACTCCTCTGGACGCCGTGCTGATAAAATCCTGGGCAAAGCGAGTGAATGACCCCGACGCAGACATCATCTACGAATGGCTCATGGAGGGCTCCCCTGCAGGCATCGAGCGCGAAGTCATCGACCCAGGGATCTTTCCAAACGCGGAGAACGCTGCTGAGCTTGAAGACGCGGGCTTCGACCGCGTCTGGGGACCCCCATGCCGCGGACGAAATCCAGAGACTGGTTGATACTGGCTTCGTGAAGGCGTTCGACTCCTTAGAGGAGTGCGAGGCCTGGTTGGGAGGCACCCCTCTCACATCGAAACTCGCTCTGGTGACGAAGGAGAGAGCAGACGGCAATCTCAAGCGTAGGTTGATTTTGGATTGCCGTGAATCCAACTCCAAAGGCAGGACGTGTTTTATTGCCCAGACCGACCGACCTGGTTGACGATGCTCTCTACCTGCTCAGACATTCTGAGGGCAAAGAAGATCACATAGTCGAATCTTTGGTCCTCGACTTTACGGATTGGTTCTATGCCGTGCCACTTCACCGCTGCGAGCAGAAATGCTACACCAGTCGCTGATGACGACTGGAAAACTCGCCTCCAGATCTCTACGTCGACGATCCATGTCTTCTTATGTCCGGGGACGCTCTCAGCAGGGACGAGACTGTTGTCGTCATGGTTCTCACGTGGCGGGCTCTGGGGATACCGTTGGCTTTCAAGAAGGCGGCTCGAGGGTCGGACTTCACTTGGATAGGAGTTCATTATTGCCTGCGCAAACTCAAGAGGGATGGCAAAGTCATCATCACAGGCAAACCCGAGCTGATGAAGGAGATCCACGACATGACGATCTCTCACACCAAGGTCAACGTTCTAGGAGTCCGGGACCTCGCGGGCAAGGCAAATTATGTGGCGGGAGTGGTCGATACGTGGAGGCCGTTTCTCACAGACCTGTGGGGAGTCATCCATTCGGCCAGCCCGGCATCGACACCACCGAACTGCGTATGGACTAAACAGTTTGAGCGTGCGACGGCCTGCTTTATGGCCTTCTTCGCTGGAGAGATGGGCACGATGACGCGCGAGTATCGTGTCAGCGCATATTTTGATGCCGGGCTTCGAGTTCGAATCGTCACGGATGCCAGCCCCTGGGGGGTTGGTGGCTTTGTGGCCCTCGGCAACACCATTATCTCCTACTTCGCGGAGGGCCTCGACCAGCAAGATGCAGACCTTGCGAATGCGGAGTTGGGCTCTCCAGACGGTCAACAAGTATGGGAGGCCTTGGCCTTGCTGATTGCTTTGCGCCTGTGGCGGCGATACTGGATGAGGACCGGGGTGGAGCTCCGCGTCAAGTCTGATAGCGTCTCCGCTCTGACTCTCCTAATAAAGTTGCGGGCTAAACCACGGGCAACGGGTCTTGCCAGCATCGCCAGAAAGCTGGCGCTAGAGTTCAGCAGGTGCAGCTACCGCCCCAGATGGCATGAGCATGTACCTGGAGTGGCCAATGTCGTCGCTGACACGCTCAGCCGACGATTCCAGCCTGGCAAGACGTACATCACTCCGGAGATCCTCCGGGATGCAAAGGAGGTGAGAGCTCCGAGCAGGGATAAATCATTCTTCAAAAGCGAGTCGGCCAGCATGGTGGACTAGAGCGGGGCCAACTCCCCCCCCCCTCCAAGTTTCACAGACAACGCACTCGGATTCATTCGCTCCCTGAACTCCGCGCGAGAGCTGTGGTGGAGTGCAGTCTGCTCAGTCTCACATGTCATGCTCAGCCTGCTCTCGTAACCGCTCTTTAGGCTCCACACCGGCCCATGGTGCGAGGCAGGAAAGCAGTGGCCTTTCTATTTTATGTGTGTTTGAGCACCGTCGCTGCACTGGCTAGAGATGACGATCAGACGACGTTGAGCCTACCTCAGCCCGAACGGCATATTGCACCACTCGCTCTGGAGAGGCCAGCTGGCACGAAGCGCTGGGCGGACAGATCCGATGCGCCTTCAGTGAGAAGTGGCGAGCCGGCACTGTTTTCACGGAGCAGGAGAAGCGCGAGGCATTGAATGCTCTGGAGCTGGATTTTGCAGCGTCGTCGGCCCGACGCCCCAACTGTTCAGTTCTATGGACTTGGGAGGCGGTTCATAGCTCCTGGTTCGGAGTGGACTCCGCGCCGTGGCCGCTCACACCTGACAAGATCAGAGGGGTAACCGCAGTGTTTAAGGCACGAGGCTATCGCTCCTTGGCAAACTACGCGAGCAAGGCGAAAGAAAGGCACATCAGCCTCACTGCGGAGTGGCCGGTGTTGCTCGCACAGGAAATGAAGATGGCCAAAAGGAGTGTCAGCAGAGGCTTGGGCCGGTCGCCAGTCAGAGCCTTTGCAGCTGGAGCGTCTGGCCGAGCTGGGGACTGAGGTCCTCTGGTTCCCCGTGGCCCCGTCGGACCTGTTGCGGGAGATAGAAAGCAGCTTGACCCTGGCTTCCAGTGTCACGGTGGATGCTGTCACCAACACTGTGCGATGGCTTCTGCCCAGCTCCAAGAACGATTCCACCGCCCTCAGCACTACGCGCGAATGGGAGTGCCTATGCGAAGCAAACGGTGAATGGTGTTGCCCATACCATGCAGCGGTTCGTCAGAGGCGCGTTTTAACGGACATGTTTGGGGATGAGGCGGGAAACTTGCCCGCGGATCTTCCTTTCTTCCCGTCTCTGGAAGGGAGAGTAACTCCGAAAGACACCGTCGTGGAAACATACAAAGCCTGGCATCTCAGATGTGGCATCGCCGTTACCGACCAGGAAGGCAACGAGCTCACGGGGGGACATTCTGCCAGAACGGGCGGGGCTGTTTTGTTAGCCAGCGAGGGCGTTCACCTATATCAGATTGAGCTTCTTGCACGTCGGAAGAGCCCCTGCGCGCACCGCACCGCTCAAGAAGTTGAGCAGGGACTATGTGCGCAATAAGGCCGTCCGCGACCTATCAGTCAGGTTAGACGAGCTAGCTGACAGCATTCGGGAGCTGAAGCGGGCCAGAGCACCGGTCCCAACTCAGTTGGAGAGGGCTGAGGTCCTCGCTGCGACGATTCAGGGACCAGTCAAGAAGATGGTGGATGAGGAGATTCGCATCCTCAAGCACGCTTTGCTTTCTGCACCCTCTTGCTACGTACAGAACCTCATGACAAAGACATGGCATAAGGCTGCTGTTGACGGCGCACTGCATGCACCAGCACTTTGGAAGGCATCATGTGGGTGGCCTTTTGGTGATTGTGACATTCGCAGGGCCGACTCGCTACCGGATGGCGCGAGGCTCTGCGAAAAGTGTCGACTCCAAGCCGACAGTTCTAGCGGTAGTAGCGAAGGGGACTCGGATTGCCATAGCCCGATTGCCAACGACACCGTATAGCAAAAGGGGGAAGTTTGGGTGCCGCTTAGACCGATATTGGGCGACACGACGCCTAGACTTCGCAGCGGCACGTCGCTGTGGTCACAAACCGCTACACGGCGGAACAGATTGCCGATTGACGTATAAAGGTGGGTGGGAGGGATTGCTCTGACATGTGTTGGCATGTTAACACGAATTTGGTGCCGCGGGGTCTTGACTCTGTGACTGTGGATCGGCCGTGCCTGAACCTGCTGGAACATAGACCTTCATCCAGATTGGCTACTGGCAGGTGAAAAGGCACAATGCCTGTAACAATCCTGTAGGCAGACCTTGCTTAGTGGCACCGGTGCTTAGTGGGCCCCTGAGCTGCTGCTAGAACCAGATAGCGCCGATAGCGGGATGGGGGGGGTGNNCCCCCCCCCCCCCCCGAAGAGACAACCCCCCCCCCTCAAAGAAAGGAACACTCCCCCCCCTGTTCGAGGAGACCCCCCGCCCCCCCCGCTCCCTTCTCAAGAAGCAGCCCCCCCTCCCCCTCTCCTGCTTAACACCCCCTTCCCCCTCCCGAGGCGCACCTCTTCT